ACTTTTACAAAATGAGTTGACAGGGCACATTTGTCCCCCGGGCCTTGAGTTTGACACATGCGATGTAGGACATCTTCAGTGTCTCCACTCGTCCCCAGACACTCTGTCTCCAGACTTCTATTTACAAGACAGCATGTGTAATGTAGTGTTGCGATAATGAAGGGTAGGATGCACAGCTGTTGCCTGATATAAAGGTCACGTAGTGTAAACTTGGCGTTAGCAGAGCAGCAACATTTCCATCACAATCTGAACCGAATAAACAAATGGCCTTTTATTTTGAAGGAGCGTTGTGATTGTGTAATTGCGGGGATTATCCACATTCAACCAATCTTCATGATATCTCTTCTCTCTTTTGTAGACGGAGAGGGTGGTGGAGAGCTTTCACCCCCGGTGGGCGCCGGAGTCAACAGCAACAGCTGGCACTTCAGATATGGTGCTGGACAGAGCTATGGCCCGCCCCAGGCCCTGAAGCCCGGAGAGATCCCCCCTGAAGCCTTCATCATCCCTGGATCCCCAGCCATCATTTCTATCCGCCACGACCCAGGCCCTGTAGATGACAAAGGTGAATTCATCAGTTTCGGCAAAAAGGAGGAGGCCAAGAAGAAGAAGAAGAAGAAGAAGGACAAGAAGGACAAGAAGGATAAAGGAAAAGATGACGGCGGAGACGACTAGGGAGGAGAAGGTGATGGTGATGGTGAAAACAGAGCTACCGACAAATTATCATCCTGATATCAGAGCCCGATAATTCTAAACGCTTAGACTAAAACCAAGATGGCCTATCTGCAGCAGATTTGAATAGACTATTTACAGCCGTCAAACTCATATTAGACCCAATCCCACGACACGCAAAGTATCCTTCTCCGCGCACTGGGCCCAAACTGTCGGCCAACACTTACGGAAAACAAAAAGGTATTATTAGCCCGACCTCTCGTAAAGGTTCGACCAAACCAACAGCACAGAAAGCAATTCATTGGATTTGGAATAAACCTGCTGTGATTTCTGCTTTGTATAATGAAAATCAAAGACACCTGCAAAGGTGTGTGATTCGTATCTGACCATTGTCAGCCGAGGTTGCCGGCTCGAGCGTTGGCTCCTCTGTCTTTATGCACACCCTTACATTTTGACTTGCGTAGTTGGAGTTAAAGTAGAAGCCAAACTTTAAAAATAAAACGTAAAAAAATCCAAAAAAGAAAAATGGGGCTAAAACATTTGTCTTTAGTATCATGGAGGCCTTGTGGTCTTTTGTAAAAAAAAAAAAAGAAAGGAAGAAAGAAAGAAAGAAAAGAAAAGAACATACCAACATACAATTTGTGAACTATTAGATAGTGACCTCTACCATAACGAAGGGGCTGAAATGAACCCCTCGTATTAGGAGCTCTGTTTCAGTGTAAAATAGCACATGGCCGAGGCTTGAGGACCTGGACTGGGTTGCACCAACTACGCGCAAGTTTGTTCCCAGGTTAAAATAAGAAGCAGCAGTATCAGAACTGTTGCTTTTCTCGCAGTTATCAGGTTCATTTGTGCCATGGAGTGAAAAGGTGGAATTTTATGGCTGTAGCTAAAACGTTTGGAATTGAGATGATAAGAGCGAGAGCTCCACCTTACCGAGGAATATTGCTTTGATTTCTTGAATAAATTACAATTATCAGTCTAAACAGAATTTTAGACTTAAAGGACCTTAACGGGGGTTTGCATATCTCTGTCAATTTTCTACAATTATAAGAATAATTGCTGCTTCTTCGCCAAAGCACTGTTGGAAATGTATACATGTGCTTCCAATCTCAGTAGTATCGTATTTTCCGGACTATAAGTCAGAAAACAACACATATAAAAAATTAAATGTTCAATGTAAAGGAGTAGCAGATACTGTTACACAAGCCTAGAGTGCCCTCTAGTGGCTGCCAGTGAAAATAACGAAGATGTAAATTTTCAGTGCTACAGGAGTAGCAGATAATGTTACATAAGCCTAGAGTGCCCTCTAGTGGCTGCCCGTGTGAAAAAAACGAAGATGTAAATTTTCAGTGCTGCAGGAGTAGCAGATACTGTTACACAAGCCTAGAGTGCCCTCTAGTGGCTGTCAGTGAAAATAACGAAGATGTGGAATTATGTATTTTAATATATAAGTCGCACCTGAGTCGCAAACGCAGCCAAAGAATGAAATGAAAATGCCACATATAGTCCAGAAAATACGGTAGTTGATTCCTAGTCTATAGTACTCAATACAACAAAACAGCAAAGAAACAATAAAGTTCAAATCATTCTATCGTTTTGTTTTTTTTTTTTTTTTCGGCAGGATAAAATGAATTATGCCATGTCAACACTTGTAATATACATATGACGGAACCGATTGTGAAGCAAAGTGAGCCAGGTGAAGAAAAATGTGTTAATAGCATTAGTGAAGAGACCATTTAATTTCAGAGATGTTTGGAAATTGGACATAAACTGTAAAAACACCATTATAGTCCTTTAAGGAGATAAAACGGCATGGGGGAATTTGTTCTGAGAGCAGAAAATAATTATGCTTTACTGTTAGTGAGTACAAACCGTGTGACTATGTATCATTTGCACCTGCTTTATTGCTTGCTACTTAGATGTTACTTGAGGTTTCGTTAAAGGGCGGGTTTTTGTGGCGCTACTGCTTATATTTTAGAATACGCGTGGATCGGGATTAGGTGGCAACTCTTGACGTAACTGGGGAACCAACGATGCAGCTGATGCAACCGGCCCCCCCCCGACTCTTTTATTGGAATATGGTACAGGTCTAAGGGGTCTTGACACACACTCACACTGCAAAACAGCAATGTCAAAAATACAAACTTTTCTCCGCCTGTCGGATGAACGCATACACACACACACGAAGCGTACGACGTGAGTCCTTGTCCTTTACGGACAGAAATGAGAAGGCTAGTGGCACCCCTCGATCTGGGAGTGTAATATATAACCCGGGGGAACAGGAACTTTGCTACTATCGCTTAATTTCTGTTGAAGCCTGATTCCTCTACTTCTGTCGCTGAATGTTAAATAGTTGTTCTTTGAGCCCTCCACCACTGCCTCTTCAGCTTTAGCGCTTGTAGAATTCGCCTACTTGCTGCCTGTTTCCTTCTCTCTCTCTCTCTCTCTCTCTCTCTCTCTCTCTCTCATTCCTCCCAATTGTACCAATCGACATGGTTGAACGTCATCCTTCGTCCCTTCGAAGGAGTCGCTCTCCTTCAGTGAACTGTGCCGTTGTGACAAAGCGAAATGTTGTGTAATTGCATATTTATACTCGGAGTACAAGCATAGACACAGACACGCGGGGGCACGCATGACTCAGTGGGTCAACGTTGACAGCGCTTTCGGCCCGGGAACTGTCTGTTCCGACTGGTTACAGCCACCTTTGTACGAGGTCAATGTGAAAGGTAGGCATCAAAGCTGAGTCAGAATGAGTCGGAGTGAGGACTTCTCAATATAGTTGGCAGCTGTATAGAAACGTACCGATGTTTCCTGTGTTTGACAGCTATCGATGACAACTGGGGAGGTTGACGCCGTAGTACCACACGTCACCGGGAACAGTAACAGCAACTTAACCGAACGTACAGTATATGGTACATATGGTGTCACAGATGTCAAGATCATGAACTGGACAGTATTTTTACTTGATGGATGTGCTGTGTCAAGGATGTTCACTTGCCTTGTTAGGCTTGTGACATCATCGCGCCAGATTTGGGTGACGTAGGCCTGTGTTGAGAACGAGTGCTGGATTAAGGAGCACGCTGTCAACGTGTATGAAATGTGTCATTTAATCCCACCTCGGTGTTCCTTTCTCTGAACAATCCCTCTATCGGTCACCACAGGACTGTTACACCCATGCACAGGTGCCCTTCCTAAATATCTGCCCTCCGTCCTCCGTCCCGCAGGTGTACTTCCGTGTTGTCAGATCACCCATTGGCTGTTTGCATGTTAAAAACAAGGAAACAGATACTATATATACACACGTGTCATTTTCCAACGAGCAATGACTATCGGGAAAAATTCGCAATGGCAACACACACACGCACACACCGAAACACTAACAAACGGATAGGGATGTCCGATATTAACCGTTTGCCGATATGCCGATATTGTCCGAACGATTCTTACAGATATTACGTAACACGCTAATACCGATATTATTGGTCAGCCGATATTATCGGACATCCCAAAAAAACAAATACTGCATACATTTCAGCACATTTAGTCTTCTGTGAATAGTGTGGAAAACCCGAAAAAGAACCACGTCTTCACCCTGTCAAAACGTCCGGTCCATCTTCTAGATACACATGACGCTGTTGTGTTCTGCTCAGAAATGCCTTTGTTTTTACCTCAGTACATTTCCATTGTAAAAAAAAAATATATCCTTCAACTTGTGTTAAGCTATGAGATGATAAACAACCAAACATCGTTGTGAAATAAAAATCTATTTATCCGTCTGCCATATCTATTCTTTGCCCAGTAGAAAACAGCAGAAAAAGAAGGGGAAAAAAATACCCAAAAATGAATAAAATGTAAAAAAAAAAAAAAATCAATGTATTCTTTGCTTGTGTATAGTGAATGTTCTGTAGTTGCTGGGTGTAGCAGTCAATGAAACATACCAGTGAACTCTGACAGTGCAGACCTGTTAATAACTTTTTTGTACACCTGCTTATCATTGTTACGGTAATAATAGTGGATACTTTACTTTATTCAATCTGGTATTGTGTTTTGTTTATAAGTCACAAATAAAGTTTTCTTAAATATCTAACAGCAATGGATATGTGCGTGTGTTCACTACACTCCGGAGCAGTTCGTTGACATGTTGGAGAAGAATGAAGTGAAAGAGCACGATTGTGTGGCAATAATTCCCATCATTAACAGCAGGAAATTCCAGGAATCCTTGAGACAAAACACATCTTTGTTGTTTTTTTTTTTTATTATTATTTTTTTTTATTCTAGTGAGTAATGCAAGATGGAACACATTTAAATCCTGAAGTGTATTTTTTTTTTCTTTTGGAGTTAAAAAACAAGATACACAGTGACATATAAAAAAGCAATTGCCACATCACAAAACATTCCAAACTTTCCAAACCAAAAGAATTAAAGGCTTAAAGAGGCAGAATAAAGGGACATTTCGAGTAATTTCAATTTCAACAGCATTTGCTCTGTTGTGAAAATATAGGGACAGCCAAAAATGTATTGAGTAACACAACAATGACTGCAAAATATATTTATCCCAAGATATTTATTCCCGTAAACTTTTAGTTGTTGAATCGGGGGTTTCTCACCATAATGGTGGTTGGCAGAAAGTCAAACTCCACAAACATGCGAGTCTGATGCCGTGTACATGGAACATAATTTCATTTTGTTTTGCCGCCATCTATTGGGGAAGGATTCAAAGTGACAAATGACCTACATTTATTTGCTACATTACATTCTTTTATTTGTAATATTGTGTCTTATACACGTATGTATATAATAAAAGATGGTTCATTTTACCATCAGATGGAAAAGAAAACTAACAAAATTAGAAAAAGAACAGTGAACACAGATTATTAAACATTAGTAGCTACAAGAGCTAAGAGCTACAGCAGTTGCTAACAATGCTAACATCCTGCTAAAGAGAGAAAACATGTTTGTGAAGCAGGGACAAAATAACCTTATTGTTAAGTCAAATGCTTTAAAAGTAGTTATTGTAGATCTAAATAACTATCATATATCAGAGGTTTTAATTATTATAGCTTTGTAAACAGTTTAGCTGTGTCACTGTGTTTTTTAATTACGGTGACAGGCATAAAACAGGAAATGATACACAAAAACAATGACAAAAGCTTTACTGGCGGGTATGAATGTCAGCGATATATATTTGCATGATTGAGTTGCTGTTGGCTTATTTGTGTCTAAGTGCTATATCTGGACTTGGTGCTGAAGGCAGCAATGAGTCATCAAAAAACTGCTGACCTTGTGTTTAAGCAAGCACTTCTTTAACCTGTTCTTCTACACCGGCCTTTATAGCTAAAAAGAAATCGTCAGCGTCAGCAAAGAGTTCTCGAAATGGAGAGACGCCTCAGGTTCATCTGTTCAGCGTCCCTTTCAAACTGGTGAGGAACTCAAAACACAATCGGCGTACTTAAACCAACCAATAGAAAAATGTAAAAAAAAAAAAAAAAATTTAAAAATAAAAATAAATCCTGACTAATGCTGTCAAAAAAAGTTTTCTTCACATAGTTATTAATAACAATAATTCATTATTAAAAAATAATGTGACAGTATATCAATCAAGAGTGGAATCCTCCCTGAATGCAAATGAGATATAGAAACTTATAGATACTCAACTTGTGGCCCGTGGGCCAAATCCAGTCCACCCAACTGTCCAATCCGGCCTGCGACTGGATTCCAAAAGAGAAAAATAATGTATGTATAAAATCAACTGAAAAAACAATCATCTTAGACAAAAATTTTGTTTTTTTTTTTTTTTTTTTTTTTTTTTTTTTTTTTTTTTGAGTGTCCAGCCCCCGGGTTGTCTGTCCCGCCTTCCAGTAAATTAGTGTCATACTGTACTGTATGTTCTCTCCTTTTTAATTAAAGAGACATTTGACACTGCAGCCAGGTTGGGAGGAGTGAGGTCTGTCTGTGTCCTAATCAGTGGGATCCCACTCACCTGTGTCTCTGTCATTAGTCTCATATTGTGTCACCTGGTGTCCTTGGTATATATACACCTCTCACCCTTGTCTTTGCGCAACCCTGAAATCCTGTTTTTTTTTCTGCCTGGCTTTGACAATCCAGTAAGTTTTGTAATCTGAGTAAACTGGCACAACAATGGCACAACGTAACAGGAGGCTGCACGAACAGTTGCACTGGCACTAAGTTGCCCTGAACAGCAAACACCAAACTCCTCCTGTGGACGACTCCTGTTGCAGGGAGAACTTTCGGAGAGAACTTGCACCATGCCGGCAGGTGAGGGCTTTAAATAACCCTGCTGTTCGTAATAGTTATCATGACGTTAGCAGGACGCACACACACACATGCCACGAAAAGAGAAGGATGAGCTAACAAGGCTCCACAAAATAGGGCAGGATATTTCGAAGGGCTTACAGGCTGCTGTGGAACAGGTTGGAGCCAAGCCTAACAGGTGGAAAGAAAGTGACATTAATGAGAACTGATCCAGTTAGCTAGATAGCTAGCTAGCTAATTCAGGTGTGTCAATCTAATTTTAACTGGGGGCCAATCAGCAATACAGTTCCCATTGAAGGGCCGGTTGTAAATGATAGATGTATAGGTCAAGGGTCCCCAACCCCCGGTCCGCAGACCAGTAACAGTCCATAGGTCATTTGGTATCGGGCCGCAGTAAAAAAAATGTACTTAATTTTTACTAATTTACTTCATTCAAGAAAATCAAGTTATATCCATTGACTTTCTTTATTTAAAGATAATCTGGCAATATTTTAAAATAATAGGTCATTCAGACTGATACAAACAGAATAGAGTCTAAAAGATGTTTTATTTTGAAAGTTAAATTATCCTCCAATGCTCAGCACCTTGCTACCGGTCCGGGGTAACAGGTGGTACTGCCTTAGAAGATTTCTTAAAAGAGTGGGGGAGAATAATGGCTCAGTGCACCATGGGAGTTACCCCAGCAGTCTAGGCCTATAGCAGCATAACTAAGGAAGAACTCAGTTCTACCTGAGCCAGTCCTGTGAATAGGATTCTTCATAAAGAAAAGTTTTAAGTCTAACTTTAAATATAGAGGGTGGGTGTCAGTCTCCCGAACCCACGCTGGCACCAGGTTCCTGACATGATGAGCCTGTTAGCTGAATGCTCTGCCTCCCATTCTGCTCTTATATATTTTGGGAACTGTAAGTAGACCTGCTTTTTGTGAGCACAGTGATATTTTAGCTTGATATAATTCTAATAGGAATGGAAAACCTATAATTATTTTTTTTTTCATTTAAAAAAAAATAAAATTATTTCAAGGCATTCTTTAAACACCATAGTGATTTTTGTTTTGTTTTGTTTCACCCTCCAACCCCATACCTTAGTCTGTTGAGGTAGAAGAAAGCTGCAAAGCAGAATATGTATTTAGCTTTTTTCCTGCTTATCTTTGCCGAGTTAACTCTGGTTTGGCTCAGTCCTGTCCAAATATGGCTCCCCTAAAGCCTCCCCCCCCCCCTGTATTGCTGCACATCAACAACCCCACGGCAGAAGCTTGGGATCCTGGAAGCCAGACTGGCAACCAACAAGGACCAAATTATGACTGTGCTTAAGACTGTCCATGACCTGGAGTCATGGCATGCTCCTAGTCCTGGGGGGATCTGGGGGTTTTTGTGGATGAAGCTCTGTTGTATTCTGTGAGAAACTTAGTTTAATGAACTTTAAACAGTGAGACAGAAATGTTGGCAACATTTGTTTCAATGTTTGCACTTTGAAAATACAAAAAAAAAAAAATGGTGGTGGCAGCTTTTGTGATTGGCTAAACTTTAAAGGCTTTCCTTTCCATAATAAACTGCGTGCACTGTCTGTGTTGGGGGAAAAAACAAATATAATTGTAGGACGGTCTCTCCAGGGTTTCAATTAAATGAAAGGTAGTGTGAAAAGAACAGAAACAGAGAAAATAAATAGACTCCCAAATATCTTTGTCAGCTAATAAATATATGTCTGCTGTGAAAATACATAAATATATATGTATATATATATATATGTGTGTGTGTGTGTGTTATATATATCTTTATAAATTTCATTATAAAATAAGTTTGGAAATGTTTGAACTAATTATTAGGCTCGTTGTACTTTATGAAAGAATATTACCAAATGGTCTTCAGTACACAATAATATCCAGTAGATGGTAGAAGAGAGTGTGTTATGTTTGACGAGGGTCACGCAAACAGACTAACGTCTTTACAGTGAACAATGAATTATTTTTCATTTATTCTATGGCTTTGTTTTATTAGTAAAAATAATTGATGATGAAAATTAGAGCAACAATATTTGATTCCTGGTCTGTGTATCGTTTTCACTTTTCAACTGCTGCTGCTGTTTGCTTTCCTGATAGACAGGTTTTGGTCGTCGTTGTTGTTGGTTTTATTTCTCTTCTTCTTAAAATGGCCACACATGACTCATTTCACATATGACATCAAGCGTAAAACTCACAAGTCAAGATAAATGACAGCAAAGATGTTGTTGTAGATCAACAGAACACCAGCGTAATCATAATCATGATTGATGTCCCTTATTTGTCCCACAATGGGTAAATTCACAGTGTGAGTCTCTGCAACCCACACAGACTGCCACACGGGAGGCGCCATCGAGTATGTAGTTCATCTGGGGCTCAAACCCAGGACCTTCTGCTTGTAAGGCAGGTGTGATATACATATATACGATGGATATTTGTATCGAAGGGAAGCAAGGCCTGGAGCAATGGGTATACTTCTAACGAGAGTGATGTACAGAGTTGTTGTAGCTACTAAACATGACTGTAGGGGGCAGGGTAGGCAAATAAAAAGCTGCAAGGAGTGAAGACCATAATAGCGGACAATGTGTCTATGTGATGTTTATTATAATTTGTGAAGACTTGGCAATAGATGGAGCGTACGTAAGAACTAAGATAAATGACATGTAAAAGTCATGCATAAAGGCTAAAATGCTAAAATGCTAAAATGCTAAAATGCCTTTAGCCTTCTACACCATCAACTGGGGAAATGCAGGCACTGCAGGTAAAAGAAGTATAATGACAGCAATCAATAACACAATTTAAACAAGTATGTCGGGCCGGATTAAAAAGCCAAATGGGCCGCGTCCAGCCCCCGGGCCATAGTTTGCCCGTGCATAACATTGATCTTGTCATTTAGAAATGCAGTCTTCATGTTCCTGACCTCCACTGTTTCTTACTGAGGATGTTTATGAGACATGACATGGGCAATTACTATTTTAGGAAGAAAAAGTCTGTGTCATCACTGTGGGTCTTAAATCACTCCCCTCCTCCACAGATACTCAGTTTTACGGCTCCCTGCTGGATTGAAAATATTATCGTTCGAATCAACATTCAAGAACGCTTCCCGCTCACAGATTTCTAAAACAAGAGAAGTACATATTCGCTTTAGAAAGGGGAAAACACAGCCATCAGTACATGTTGTTTTTAACAGACAGATGCTTCATAATAAGTGGAACGGGATTTAAAAAAAAAAAAAAAAAAAAGATTTTTGCAATGTTAACACAGTGGTTAGTCATGTAATGACATGTAGTGACATAATAAATGCCAGTGGACTAGAGGGAACCTTACTGAAGTGCATCCACATGATTACACTTTCAATTAAAAATACATTAAAAAGTCATTCACTTGCACAGGTGTCAAACTCAGGCCCGCGGGCCAAATCTGGCCCATGATTTAAATATATTTGGACCGCGAGAACATATCAAATGTGTATTAGAGCTGACCTACCATATACTGGTGGGATTATTAGTGTTAGCGATGTTTGCGGTGTTTGTTGTTTTTTTGTTGGCCTGTGGAAAAAGATTTATATTAAAAAGGAGCTCGAAGGGCTAAGAAACAAATTTTTGTTTAATGTCTCATGTGTTTATAATATTAGGCTTGTTCCCGATTGGATGTTCACACAAAACTTAAGTTTGTTTCCATAGTAAAAAAAAATTCAACATTACAAAGATTCTCTAGAGAGAAGGGGAAAACGTGCACAATTGCTGTTTATTTTTAAATAAATATTGAGTTTGGCCCGTGACATATTGAGTGTGTTAAATCCAGTCCTTTAAATATGGATCCTGCAGGTCCACTTATGCCCCACCAGAGGAAGTGAGCAGCACATTTGACCACACTTGTAGAATAAGAAAAAAGAGAAGAGAGAATGAGAGGAGGAAGAGGAGGAGGAGAGAGAGGGAGACACCCACACACACATAGAGGGAGAGGGAGAGCAGGGGGTTGGTTATGTTAAAGCCCACAGGAAAGAGTTCTGTCAGAGGGAGGTTTGACATTTGTGATCTTGGAATACGTCTCGGAGCCAATAACAAACCACCAGAAGGTGAGCAGACGTCTTTCTCTCAGTGTCCTTTTGTTAGGTTTTAACTTTCAAAACCAGAGGTAAGACCGAGGCGGTCATATAGAGACGCGGTGTTGCTTGGAAACTCATTCATGTCTCCCTCTCTGAGGTTGTACATTCACAGGACTGTAGCGAGGCAGGGCTGTCAGAATAAAGTGGAAAATTTTATTTTATTGCTAATTAAAAGGTCAAGCGAGTTTTTGGTTTTTTTTTGTTAACACCAAACACGGGGTTCGGTGACCCATGAGGGGTCCACAAAGGCACCGCATGGGGTCGTAGGTTTTTTTTTTAACTGAAATTCGAATGTAAATATATGAATGGACATTAACATGAATCAAGCATGAAGTTGTTGTCATCACGTACCACTGGAGGTACGCGTACCACAGTTTGAGAACTGACAGATCGTTTCTGATTTGGAAAGGGAAACAACGTTACTTTTCTGTAGGTTAAAGAAGTCATTTCGATAGAAAATATTATTGAACTTCAGCAAAACGTGACAAGTTAAGGGTCTCTGTCTGTCTCTGTCTGTGTCTCTTTCTAACCCTTTAACCCTTGAGTGTCAAACTCAAAGTTGCGGGCAAAAAAAATCATAAAAAAATGGACAGAACTTGTGCATGTTTTCCCCTTTTCCCTCCAAATCCCACCAGTTTATAGTGGCTATATAATGGCGGGCCAGCTTTAATACACATTTGATAC